GGGGCCGGCACAGCTGGGGGAGGGACCGGGGGGGCTCTCTCTTTGCTGACCCCAAGGGCAGACACGGTGCCGGCTTGTGCCACCTCTCTCGCGGGCAGCGTGTCACGAGCTGGGCACAGGGGGCATGGCCCCCCCGCTGTGGTAGTGCCTGGGGGGCTCTGGTTACCTCCCCCCGGCGTAGAAACCAGCCCCCCCCACATGTCCACTTCGTAGAGGGGTCCTCAAAGGTACCGCAGGAGGTACAACACCTCCCAGCGCCAGGGAGAGAACCCAGGAGTCCTGCCCCCCACCTTCCCTCCCAGCGCAGTCGGCTGTGGAGAACCCAGGAGTCCTGGCGCCTTGTTTCTCGCTGGGGCTGTTCCTTTTGCATCTGGTCCCGGCTGCGTGGGCTTGAGGGGTCGCTGGGGGCTGATGCATCGTCCTCACGGGGGGCTGGCGAGGGGGGGCCATGTCCAGGGCCCGGCTGCAGGGGGTGCCGCTCCTAGGGGTGCAGAGAGAAGGGGGCTCAGGGCCAGCCACATGTGTGAGGGTACTGGGGTGTCCCGCCCCATGCTGGCGGCTGCCCCCCGCCCCGAGAGCCAGGGTCCAGCTCCAACAGTGCGGGGGAGACATATGGCTGCTAAGGGGGGCTGGCGCCCCCTAGAGGGGAAACCCCGGTACCCTGTTCCCTGCCACCTGGACCAGCCCCTCCCCCTGGGTCAGGGCTGGACAAGAGCTGGGGATTCCACAGCTGTGAGCTTCCCCCAGCAGTGCCCTGTGGCACCTCCCAGAAACGCTGTGATCTTCCCCCAGCAGGGCCCCATGGCACCTCTCCCCAGCACTGCGATCTTCCCCCCAGCAGTTCCCCACGGCACCTCTCCAGCGCTGCAAGCTTCCCCCAGCTGTGCCCTGTGGCACCTCACAGAAACACTGTGATCTTCCCCCAGCAGGGCCCTGCGGCACCTCTCCCCAGCGCTGCTATCTTCCCCTAGCAGTGCCCTGTGGCACCTCTCCCCAGTGCTGTGATCTTCCCTTAGCAGTGCCCCACGGCACCTCTCCCCAGCGCTGCAATCTTCCCTCAGCAGTGCCCCGGCGCCTCTCCCCAGCGCTGCGATCTTCCCCCCAGCAGTTCCCCGCGGCACCTCTCCCCAGCGTTGCGATCTTCCCCAGCAGTGCCCTGCGGCACCTCCCAGAAACGCTGCAATCTTCCCCCAGCAGTGCCCTGCGGCACCTCCCAGAAACGCTGCAATCTTCCCCCAGCAGTGCCCCA